GTAGTAGTAGTAGTAGTGGTAGTGGGAGACAGGGTACGAGGAGCACTGGCTGTCAAAGCCAGGAGATCTGTGGGAATTACGCTCCCTTTTTTTCGACGGAGCGAGACGGCTCTGACCTCGAATCTGCTTTTGCAAACTAAGCATAACGACTATGTGCGTTCGCATGACGGCTCCAGGCTCTTATGTGCCTGGTCCTGCAAAGATGGGAAGCCATGGTGCGACAAGGAGACGTCACAGCATTGCCCCAAGTCGAGTTTGGTCGATCTGCCAGCACATGACAGGCCGTGAAATCTGGGATTACATCATATGATACACCATACAAGGTAGATGCCATACTATACATCACCATACTTCAATATAATCTGGTACAATGCTATACATTGTACCAGACCAGACCAGGCCGGCCGTACACGTACCGTACCATACCATGCCATGCCGTGCCGTACTGTGCCATGCCATATCATACCATAGCGTACTGTTATGAGCAACATTGCATCTGTTGCCTGGTTGCAACGTTGGAGTGTGGGCAAGTGTCCACAATGTCGCACAGCTTATGCATGTGTGTGTTTTTTTACAAAGTCTGCATCACAGTATGGCGCTGTTTTAAACGTTTTAGTACAGTATATCACAGTACGGTAATGTACGGTACACGATCACATAGCATAGTCTACAACAGTATAGTAGTCGTGTCTACACGTCCTTGGCCCGCGGGGGACCATGCTAGAAAGGAGCTGGGGGAAGGCTGGCTGTGTGGCTCACCGGGCGGGAAGTCGAGAGCGATGAGTGACATGATTGACGTACTTACTTGGCCAGGATGAGGGCAGATTACACGGAGAAAAATGGAGGAGCCGAGAATCGCTGCAAAAGTCACAAGCCCTGCCCTGCGAGAGCCCCTGAGTTCTGATCTCACGGGCGGACCAAACTCCAACGCCCAACTCAACTTCGAAAAGGGGCAGGGAAGCAGAACAGGAAGACCAGAGCTGCATCCCATGAGGCCAAGAGAGCTCAAGACCGGAGCCTTCCAGGAACTCGACGTTGCAGTTCTGTTCCCAAGCCCAAAGTTCGTTTGCAACAGACTCACCCACTTTGCCAACGATTGCACTTCCAAAAGCTTTGGAGATGCACTTTCTCGCGCAAATCTCTTTTGGTAGTCGTCTTCCGTCCTGAACGTTTTAAGTGGAACTGCTTTGCAAGGGTGAATTCTTCCTGAAAGCCCCTAGCCTTAGAGCTTATCGCAGTTTCGGCTTTGCAATTTCCCGCGTCGGAGTGTGCCGATCGTCTCGTTGTTCAAGCACGCAGAACCCCAAGCTGCAGAGCACGCGACAACACTCAGGACATGTGCAGGTCTGCCAAGAAACCAGTCCGTTGCATCTCAAGGCAGGCTTGCACCTGGACTTTTCAAAGTAACACTTCCCAAGCACGATACTGTGACTTGGCATCTTCAGGGTCCTTAGCCAGACTACAGCAAGATCCACCCGCCGAGGCAGTGCATCAGCATGGTGTTCGGACCCGCCGTGGTGTCTCGTTGCGATGCCAGGCTGCAGAGAAGTCTGGCATGCTTGGCGCTCCCAGGCAAGCAGCCGTGCTCACCGAAACTTGCATCGTTCCCCGGAGCTCAGAAACGGAAGAGGCACTGAATCCCTCGCGGAAACCCTGGAGCCAAAGTGAATGCCAAAGCCAAAGGTCTGGACTTGTGACGCGCGGGCGGAGCGACTTCTTTGCGTGTCCTGTGCAGGATCTTGCCAGTCTCCGTCTTAGAGGTGCCGGCGAGTTCTGAGGCCCGGAGGGAAACTCGAATATGTAGAATGTAGAGCTGCCTGTAACGATGGTTGCTCATTATGACTGTGAACTTTGGTGTCAGTCATCAGTCTTCAGTCTTCTTCTCCGCTTTGCTTCTGGAGTTCCTTCGCCACAGGAGACCCGCTGGCAAATCATGCTGGCCACAACTTTTCGGATGTGGGCAGGCCATTCGCCTAGGTTTTGTTTGCATGTGCGTGTTTCTCAAGAGCAAGGTTGAAGCTGTGTTGGAACGATGTGGATGCCAATTGCTATGTCAAGACTGCTGTATGCTGCCATGGCCGAGATATTGTCACACATCCCGACAAGGACATAAGAGTCTTCGCGCTAGAGGTATGCTGGGCCGAATCCTATCTTGCAGAATGTTGAGGAAGTGGAGAAACGTCGGGTAATTGAATTAACAAAGGGTTCCGAGAGTGGTCCTGCAACTTCCTGGAATTGCCCAAGACAAGTACAGTACCGCCAAAACATCAAGCATCATCAGCTTTTTCCTTAGACTGCGAGATTTCTGCATGTACAGTCCTCAGACGATGGGCAAAACAAGATTCTGCGCTCGGAGAAACCAGCAGCAGTTCACAGCAGAGCCGTCTTGTGGCGGTCGAATCATGCTCTGCAGGCCTTTCCGCTGATGCCCGTGACCTGCATCGCCTCGTGCGGGTCTTGTGCTGGCTTCGATCTTCTACGGTTCTCTGCATCTCTTCCGATTTCGGAGCATGTCTCATGGCAGATACAGCACCGTGCTGCTATGCGGAGACGTGGCGCCACCCCCTCAGGTCTCCTGCAAAAGGTGATGAAACTTACCAGTAGTAGCCCTGTGCTTTGCCTGCGTCTCTCGGGCCGTACCTCAGCTGAAGATGCTCAAGGATCGGAGCATGAGTTCCAAGTGGATATGGCTTCTGGTGGCAGTTGCAAGGTCTGCAGCTGGCTGCCCTGAGGGCTTTAGGTCTTTCAATGAGAAATGTTACATCTTCACGGAGGAGAAGGGGAGCATGACGCAGTGTCAGGACCGGATATGCAGTGGTTTGGGTGCGACCTTGGCAGTGATCCATGACATCGACACGCAGTTTTTCTTGGTGAATCTCACACAGGAGTTTAAGGGACCTGCTTACGTAGGTCTTTTCGAGAGGGGTGTGAACGAAAGCGGTGATTGGACGTGGGTCGACGGAAGCAACTTCAGCTTCGAGCCGGATGCTAACGGGACTCAGTACCCTTTAGCCGGCTGGGCCCTCTCCGAGCCTGACAACTGGTGCTTGGACGAGGATTGTGCTGCCTTGGGTGTTGAGTTCCTGCCGAACTACTCGGCCAGGGGCATCCCATGGCTCTCTTCTCTGTTTGCGCCGCTGAAGTCCAAGGGCCTCATTGACATCTCCTGCAACACGCAGCTCCACTGCCTCTGCCAGGAGGGCCAGGAGGTCTCTGAGGATTTCGTCAACTGGGAGTTCAACAACTCGGCCTTGAACAATGAGAACAGCCTCCATGTGAACGCCACCTACCTCCAGAACTACATGACCTGCTTCTTCAAGCGGACTCGTTGCTGGTGGTACGACAATCAGACCTTCCAAGGCTCTTTCCTGGGCCTGGGCTTCCTCTGCCTAGGCTGCCTCATCTACAGCATGACGGGCTGCCAAGAAGGCCGCAGTCCTCCGCAGTCCTATAAGGGGCCCCCCAAACTATACGGTTTAGGGTTTAGGGTTTATAGGGTTTATAGGGTTTATAGGGTTTATAGGATTTAGGGTTTAGGGTTTAGGGTTTAGGGGTAGATACTCTCCCCAATTTGCCCGCAGTCTCCCTCTCTGAGAGGAGCCAAGCCGGCCGTGACGCTCGGTGAAGCGTCGGCTTCCTCGAACTATGGCCAGCTTCTGGAGGCCAGCCGCACTGCATGTAATTAGAAAGTGCCGGAAGCCCCCAGAAAAAGACGAATGGGAGGCCTGTGACCGCCAGAACGAGGTGGATAGCATGGTGGACAGGCCTTACCTGCATGATGCGGGACTGGCCGCTTGTTCGGATGCCTCAGCTTCTGCTTGCTTGCGGAAAAGTTTGATGAGCTGTTGCAAGTTGCCGCTGTCTTGTCCCGGCAGGTGGATTGTGAAAGGCTCCTGGGCATCCATGCTCTATGGGATCCTCCTGGTGGTCCTGTCGGTGTCCACCGTCTGCCACGTGAACTTCGGCATCGGCTTCGGCTTCGGTGTCGATGGGCTCCTGGCCCTTGCCATGTGCGGAGCACAGGTGATCATCAGTGCCAGTGCTTGTATGGTCCAAAAGCATCTCTCGACGCCCTCCAGGATGGTCGTTGCATGGTGGGTGCTTGCTTTTGCCCTCGCTAAAGTCGGCATGGCCATCGGCGATCTCATTCTGGCGGTGATGTACGTGACAGAGACGTTGGGTGGATTCGTCCGGGAGAATGCCAGTTTTTGCAGTGCTGGCTACCTCTTCTGCTGGATGCTTATGGTCTCCATGGTCTGCCAGAGCGTGGCAGGCATGGCGATAGCACGGATTCACACTCGAGCAGCACAACATATGGGTGGGATTTCAAGCCTCACCAAGATTATCGGTTGCTCGGGCTTGCTCTTCATCGTGGCCACCTTCGGGGCTGGCTTGGGGCTTGGCGTGTGCTGTGGGCTCTTCATCTTCGATGACTCCTCCGACGCAGTGGATCCGATGTTCGGCATCGCCTTTTCCTATTTCGCCACACCGGCTCGTTTCTTTGAGAGCCTTTGTCCCCCCCCAGATACGGATTGCCCCGGGCCATGCCTCGCCAGGCCGCCGCGCTCTTTCACTTCCTGGCCGGTGCCGGCAGCCTGCGTGCGAACACGCAGGTGAGGACACACTATCAACGGGGTGCACGGACCATCACTGAGATGCAGAATTTTTAGGGTGCGATCAGTGCAGTCTTCCCCGTCCGTTGTGATTTGTATGCCGTATGCCTAGTCTGGACAGATGCAGCAAAGCTGCGCCCAGCTACGAATCGCTCGACCAATCGCTGACCTATCGCTTTGCAAGACAATATAAGCAGCAGTGTGGTAGTGTATCGCAATGTCACTGCTGAATTCATGTCCGATTCCCGTCTCGAGCTCAGGTCATGATGCTCGCCGGCAGGAGTCTTGTGCGCCCCGACGAAGTCAAAAAAGTGCCATATCATGCAGGGGCGGCGTCATGGTCATGCTTGCACTCTGCTTGCGCTCCTGGTATGCAACCTTGTTTTGTACACTTGTTTATGACATGGTCCATTGGCCGCTCAGGAGGGATGTTAGCAGCAAAACATGCAGAGCCTCATGTGGATAGTCCGCAGCAGTGCAGAGTCGTGTTGATGCCATGCGGGACGTGTAGGACATTCTGCCAGGAAGCGTGGGTTGCCTCTAGGGTGCAGTTCGGATTGCTGGTCCCCGCATCTGCCGCCATGCAGGCGCCTCCCATACTTCTCAGGTTTGATATGCAGGCTTCGCATACGGGTCTTAGGCCTTCTTTTCGATTCTGAATGGGGGTGAAGCTTCAGAACCTTCTTTTTGAGTCATGAAAGGGGTTCCGGATCAGTGGTGTGTCGTGCCCCCACCTGTTTTCAAGTTCCCGCCTGCGCCAAGATGATGCATGAAGCCATGCCTCCTGGCGAGCATCCTCCACATCATCCGCCTTCACAGGCCATGTGGTGAAACGGTAGAAGAACCGAACTGGGTTGCTGAACTGTGCGACGCCCGCGCATGTCATAGGTTGCACCGCTTCGTAGAATGGCAAGCAGGTGAGCAGTCTTATCCTGGGAGGCACAGAGGCCAGCAAAGCGGCGACGGCTGAAGGGCCTCGATGCCAACAGTGGGGAGCCTCTTGCAGAGTTCATCTCTGATTCTCTAGACTCTGTGTAGCGTGAGGCCTGGAGAAGCTCCTTCGTGGGCTGCATCAATGTCTTAGGTGGGCTGCCTTCGATGCAGAAGGGGAAGATTTACGGTGCAGTGGGCTAGCGATGAGGAGAATCGTCGACTCCCTGCCCGATGCGGCGGCTGGGCCAAACGGCAAGGAGGCACGGCTTGCTTGCATTCGGAAGGTTAGAAGATTGCTTGGTATAGTACAGCATACTTTTGTCTATAATCTAACAGAGATGTGGATGGTGTGTTGTGGAAATTGCAAGAAGGCACCCGTCCAAGCTCTAGAGGAGGACCGAGCCTTGCCCGCGTGATCTCCACGAAAGTCTGGGGCCATGTGAGGAGTTCGAGCGCCACTGGAGGCTGCGCTTCGATGCCCGTGCCATGGGTGAATCAGGCCGTTAGGGTTTGGGGCTTAGGGTTTAGGGTTTAGCCGGTGAACCCAAGCCTGGCAATGATGGCAATGCTAGGGGAAGCTGGCAGGCACTGCCTCGTTCTTGCGGCGCTTCCCTTCCGTCCGAGGCGTAGGCTGAAAGTGCAGACTCCACTGACCCAGCGAACTTCAGCTTGCGAGAACCTCCAAATTTGGTGTAGCCGCGCTGAGGTTTTCAAAGCCAGAAGCAATGGCGTCGAAGTGCTGGTCGCCCCGCTTGAGGTGCCGCTGTTCGTCGCGCCCTTGCAGAGGGCATGCGAGATGCTATGGAGGACCCCAACTTCGATGACGCAGCCGCGGCCGGTTTGGAGCGTGCGGCGCCCGAAGACAAAAGCTTCCAGGCGAGACTGAGACTGAAACCCGCGCTGCTAAGCACAGAGCGTGTACCGCAGTATGGACTGTTCCAGGTAGATGGCTTCGCTGCCAGCTTCGGTGAACAGGCCCTACTTCTTGGAAGGAAGGGGCAGAATCTGCATCTCATAATTCAGTTTTCCAAGTGCTCCTTCTAGACTGCAGAACGGTCGACCTTCTGCACGACCCGATTTCCAAGGATGCGCCATCTGTGTGAAAGCGCTCCGAAACACCAAGCAAAGTGTCCTTAGACCTACTAGACTCCCCATCCCTGAAACCCTGAACTCAAGGGTCCGAAATCCTCAATGCCCTCCTGAAGGTGGGTTGGAAGCCCTTTTAAAACCCTGAAATCCTGAATCCTAAACCCAGAACCTGAATCGTAAGCGCTGTTTGCTTCAGCTTTTGCCAGGTCATCGCTGCGCTGGCGAACCTGGTGGCCGAGGCGACTCTCTCAAGTGTCTGCATACGATGGTATCCATATATATATATACATACATACATACACGTGTGTGTGTGTATGTATTTATGTACATACTCATTAAAATATAAATATATACACACATATATCTATCTATCTATCTATTTGTCTATCTATCTACGTACCTACCTATAGCTACCTATTTATCTATCTATCTACCTATCTACCCATATCTATGTGTATTCAGGTTTATGTATGTATACATATATACAGATATGTATATACATATGTATACATATGTATATGTATATATATATATGTATATGTATGTATGTATATACACACATATTGTATGTGTAGGTGCACCCTTTTGGGCATGCACTTGAATTAAACGTTGTGAGTACGGTCAGCCGAAAAAAAGCGGTGTCACCCTCCTGAGGGACTGCAGAAATCTCCTGTAAGTGTTCAGCAGCTCAGAACAAGTGATGTGCGCCGTGTGAAAGAGAACTTGTGGTACAAGCGCTTGCACAACAGCTGCACACACCGGTGCAGAAATCTGGGAATGTAGTCTGCACTCGGGCAAATTGTGTGTATTCAAATTCCGTGAACGATCACGAAAGTATATACAGGCCCTCACTCAACACTCTACGCCACGCCGTCACGCGCGGACACAGCGGCACAGGATCATCCCTAAGCAGGCGATTTCGCTACCTGCTTCTCAGTGAAGAACAAGAACAAAATGCATCATGCCCCTTGCTATGCAGACCTGGGGCTTCGCTCTGCAGATCTTGTGCCGGGCCGCAAGGTCACAAAACATTTTGGCTTTCGGCACAGTCGACAGAACTTGACTCCTGTTATGCAGCAAAACCAAAAATAGCATGGTCATGGTTCCGAGTTCGCAGAACATCCCGACAAGGATGCTCCCAAAATGCGTTTCTAGACAGCCAAGGAGCATCATTCTGCTACTGATGTAACATACGCCCACGCCCTTGGTGACATCAGGTATTCCCAAATAGGCCATCATGCTGCCTGACCAATTGCTGAACATGAGGAGGTCCAACAAGAGGCCGACCAAACGCGACGTTGCCAATGCAATCATGTCTGTCACGCTTTCATGTCAGCCCACCCCTGCTCGTAGCTGCAGATGCTCCTTGAGGGACCGCAACGAATCGCTCCATAAGCGATGTGCTCTGGAATCACCACGCTAACATGCCAGCTAAGCTCATCTTTTGCCAAGACGAACTCACTTCCCTCCAGGGCCATGGATAGGTTCTGGGCACAACGACGCTCCTCGCTGTGGGCGATTCGGGCCCTATGTGCGTATAGAAATGGAAATAAGCAAATAAACAAGCAAATTAATAACTGAAAATAGGTATGTGTGTATATATATATATACACATATAAATATGTATATGTATATGTAT